GTTATTTATAACAATAGTTAGTTTTTTTTTCTTTTAAAAACATAACTATTTATAATGCTCCCTAAATAAATAAAAAATAAGTTACAGTGAAAGCAATGAAGATTTTGTAGGTTTTGAACCAAACTAAATAACAGTAAACCCTTTTTTGATTTACGGTATTTTCTTGTTTTGAGCTCTTTTGTGTTTACTAATCTTTAAAGTATCAAATTGAATTTTTGTTCAATAAAAATCTTTCAAATGCGACTGTAGCTTTTGTTTCCCCAAAACTTTGTCTTCAAAATAAGGGTGCGTCTTATATTCGGAAAAATACGGTATATCTCAAGACAAATAAGATTTGAAAAACTCGCCTTTTTTTTTTAACTATAACTAAACTAAAATTTGTAACTTTTTTTTAGAGGTCAATATTACGACTGTAAAAAAACAACTATATTACATTCCTCGTCATCTAAATATAAAGTAAACATTTTTCGATTATTGATTTCTGCACAAATTCTAATTTTACAGATCAATTCAACGTGTATATGTGTTTAATTAAACACTAGACATGTGCGTGAGTTTGTGTAAGGGCTAATTCCTTTGAAATTGTAATATTAAAAAAAAATTGTTGTGAAGTAAATATATATAGATATATATTTAAAGTTTATTGTGTTTCTCGATAACATTTCCTATAGTAAAAATTAAATTTTTCACCCTCTTCGTAACTATAGAACCTCTTAACTACTAGTTCCTAACATATAACGATTCATGAAAACAAGTGGTTATTATTATTCTCGAAAGATGGCGCTATAAACATAAAAGCTGTATTCATATGAATTATACTACTTTAGATATAAAAGACCATTCACGATTATCATAATTTAAATTATCGAGCATTATTCGATAGAAGTGGGTGGGTAAAAAAGCAAACTTTTTCGATAAAGTTTGTTAAAAAAATATTTTTTTCCGATCAATGCCTTTGTTTAATAAATGTGAGTAACAACAGATCTGTGCCTCGATAACAACAACACGCCAGATCTTACTTCAACAATTTTCTGTTTGATAAAAGATGAATTATGGAACTTTTTTTTAATGATTACAACTGTGAATGGTCTCTAATAAAAGGTTTAAAAGAAACTAATCTCGTGGCTACCATATTGTACTTGCAATTTGAATTATAGTTATGTTATGATTTTCTATAACTTTAGAAATTATACTTAAATTATCAGGAACCACATGGTACAATGCCCTGGCGTATGAATAAGAGCACCTTCGATACCGGTGGTATTGTTATCCGAAATGCCCGCGATATATTGAACATGAAAAACACGAAGCTAGGAGGTCCTGATGGGCGTGTTTCTGGTCAGTTTGTGTTTGTGTTGTAGGTTGATATTATCAATGTCAAGTGTATGATAAGACTGTTCATTTTATTACACCAGGGCGCTGTAAAATCATAAACAAAAAATGTATAAGTTAGGCCTAAGATTGATATGATTTACACTACAACAAAAGGATAAAATATCTGAAGCTAACGTGCAGAATGGTACGTTTAATCAATGTCTGCCTCATTTCAAACAATACTGTCTTATGTTCCGTTTTTAAAACAGTATTTACTCTTGTGTATACTCTGTTGGTTTATAATGCATTTTTTTCCCAGGGCGCGAAAACTAAGGATTCTGTGGTTGCGACAGCGTTCTCTTTCTTGACGTACGGGGGCGCTACACAAGTTTCGATTTTATTCAGTGGTTTTTCAGCAACCCCTCTATAAAAAAATTTCCAGGATCAATGCTTTTTGTTGTTGTTGTTTTCTGCCTTTAAATTTAAAATAAACTATCAGTTTTTTTATCTTGTTCCCACATCAGACAGAATTCTCTCAGAAAGTTATTTCGTGTAGTAAAAACTGTTTTATATGTTTAGAATTCTCATAAAATACGTTAACTTTCTTCATAACGTTCAAAAATATTTTAACCGAATATATATATATATAATTTTCCTAAAATTGACAGGATAAGGGGAAAAAATTTTAGAGTTTTTTGTTAACGTTAAAGTTGTAAAATAGTTAATATACTAACAACAGTAGATTTGAAATTAATTAGGTAACCCCGCCCGTCTTGTGGAAGTAAACATGCATATTAGGAAGTACGGAGACAGATAATCGTGATTTTTAGCAACGTTTAGTTATTCACACATCGAAACACAAACAAACATTTTTAACAACGTTTAGTTATTCACACATCGAAACACAAACAAACATTTTTAGCAACGTTTAGTTATTCACACATCGAAACACAAACAAACATTTTTAACAACGTTTAGTTATTCACACATCGAAACACAAACATTTTTAACAACGTTTAGTTATTCACACATCGAAACACAAACAAACATTTTTAACAACGTTTAGTTATTCACACATCGAAACACAAACATTTTTAACAACGTTTAGTTATTCACACATCGAAACACA